TCATAAATGATGTCAACCTACCAGTGGAGAATAGGAGCAAAGCGACAAAGACAACTAAGTTGGATATGGGGCAACGACTAGTTTGAACGTTTCAATACTTAAGTGGCAGAAACGGTGCAGAAAGATGAAGCCGTCATTGTGATATTGAAAGTGTATGAGTGCTCAATCATCATGGAAAGAGATACTAAACGAACTACAGGTATGCATGTACGCAGGTGCCAAACGAATTGGTCAGAGGAAAGTTGCTCCCAGACATTGGAGAAACCCATGCGCCGGCTACCGATGGGAAAGACACAATCAACCAGGGGCGGATTTAGGGGGGGCTGGGGGGGGGGGGGGTCGGACGCCTTCCCTTCCCTCAAGGATTCGAACCCCTGCCAACCCAAAGGGTCCCCCCTTTGGTACTTTTTAAAAAAACCATTTTTGGTCGACTGACCCTAAAATTTTTCTAAAGGAGCCTTCGGCGCCAATATATACTAATTTTGAGGGGGAGCGCGCGCCAAAAAACGCGTTTTTTTTCGTCAAAATTTTCCAAAAAGTGCCCAAAAACGGCTTTTTTGACCTGTTTTTTCAAAAAATTGCTTGCGGCGCAGAAAATTTGGCCGAAACAAGGTCTTTTTACTGCTTTGGGAGAGCTCGGAAAATCAACCTGATCGACCTAAAAAAAAGGTTGTCGAAAATTTTTTGAAAATCCGCCCCCCCCCCTCGAGAAAATCCTAGATCCGCCCCTGCAATCAACAGAGTATTTTGGACTGTCTGAAAATAAACCACAGAACTGATGAGCGAGACAAAACAGGAACTGAGTGATGAAATTTTAGAAGCGCAAAAAACCTCATCTGTGAGGCTTGATAAAGAAATTGAGGAAACACAAGAAACGCTTCAAATAGAAATTGTTTATGCACGAAGGCGTAGCTAGATCTAACACCAAAAAGATTGCACCAATAAAACTTCAGCAACACCAAAATCAGCGTGTGAGAAAGTAGTGTGAAAAGGTAGTTAGCAGAACGCTATTGTCAACATTGGAAGATCCGATGAGCAAAGACTTCACCCAGAACGAGATAAAAAGTGATCAGAAAAAAGAATGCTGACAAAGCAGGTGGTTCTGATCATATTCATCCACGTCTCAAAAAGAACTTTGCGAAGAAAAGAGAAGCAACTCATTTTTTTTCTCTTTGACAAAAATATCCACAAAAGGCAACCCCTTGACGACCAGAGGAATGCTGACACCTCTCTAAACCAGCTACAGGACTGCACATTAGGATACTCAAATAAGGCACAGGATTACTGAAGACTATAATTACTCCGCTTCTTAAACTGAACTTTCGATGCTTTGAAGGTGAAGGCCATCATGGCTACAGCAAGAATTACGACTCAGGAAAGGAGGCTGCTTCTGGAAAATGCAGTCGAAAGGGCTCCAGAAGATCATAATCAACCTACAGGCATTCGACAGGCACTCCTCAACGTGGCCAAACAATCGACTGCCATTCGACGAGTTTGAGGCGTCAAGAAAAGAAGCTCCTAAAAATCAATCATTGCTTCTTGATAGTTCGTCACCTTCAACAATGACCTTGCTGGCATGATGCCGTGTAATGCGACGACAACCCTCCGGTTGCGACGTCTAGGTTTTAGGGCTGACCTCAGAAGCTGTGACATTCAACCAGCAGTTGACAAGATCGCTTAGTAGATCTTCACGACAAATATGAAAAAAAAAACATTTGGATTCAATCTTGGAAACAGGAAAAACTACAATCGATCCAGCGCAGAACCCATTTCTTCAGCCTGCGTATCGACAGTTGAATGAGGTTTATGAGACTAAGAGACGTGTGGTTGATGAGACTATGCTCGATCAACCGCACGTGACAAAAACTCAAAAGCGCTCTCGAGTCCTCCTTTACCTGGCCAGCACAGACTGGTGTCACTCAAGCAACTTCCTTCGGACACCAACATGAGCCACCTCTGGATGTCTTGATGCTTGAGGAGCGTGGCATCCCTATGTCAAGTACGAACGGTGAGCGGCTGGAGTCTGCACGTGTGGATTCGCAGGCAGAACAGTGACTGGACAGCTCAAGAAGACTCCAAACGAGGCAGTTTTACTAGTAGCTGACATGCCCATCATCAAAACAAAGTAGCAAACTCATAGCCATCAGGACGCTTGAAATATCCTTGTGGCTTAAGCGCACCAACGCCAGAAAAAAACTTTACCACTAAAAAGACGTTCTAATGGGACCATGCCTGTGATGGTTGGAACAAAACGATTGCAAAATACTGTCACCCTGAACTCTTAGCGGATCATGTTGCACCCTGGACCAAGCTCTTGATCTTCACTAAGACCAAAGCCGAAAAGCGACAAGCCAATTAATAAAAAAAAGGCACAAGAAGCAGTCAAAATGATTAGATCTTAGTATATACAAAAGTCAACAAGGAGGTGCTCTAAAAGTCACCCATAATAAATGTCGACATTTTCGAAACTAGAAAAAAAAACTTTAAAAAAACCACGATGACTTACTACTTATGAAGTGCATTTAATTCATATTTTACCCGTGGTGCAACTGCTCAGTGGGGAGATATGCTCTATTGAGGGGGTGGTCTGAATAAAGACCCCCCCCCCCCCTCCTCCTCGCTCACGTGTTATATCATCAGGCACTGACAAATACGAACACTCATGAATTAGTACAAAGGATCTCAATTTGGTATAATATCATACACTTCTCATCTAACTGAGAAAAGTCGTGCGATTGGAGAGCAATGATACTTTATCCTAACATTTCTCAAACTAAATTCTCTACTATAATTTTTCCCGGGTAGTGAAAAGAAGGCCCAAGAACTTTCTCTGAAAGAATAATCCGAATAGTGTTTCAGAGAAAATTTTAGATCTTCTTTTTGCTATCAGCTAACAATGTGTAATTGAGATTTAGGGTTCAAGTTTGGGTTTGTAAATGATTTTAAGTTTAAAAGTTGAGCTTAAAAAAATGATTCACTTGGGTCATTTTGCTACATCAAACATCGATGTATTCACCAGTTCCTTTACGCCGAAAAGCTTGCGTGCGTCTCAGATGATGATGATGGCAAGTGTTTAGGCAGCAAAAGCCACTGATGAGCATATACCGGTTGGGGAGCATGAATTATGGTTATCTGAGATAGCCTCCGTAAATTGAGGACGCTCAATAAAAGAATAGCAAACCAAACCAAACTGTCAGATTTTTTTCTCTTGGTGCCATTTCCAATTATTTCCAAATCGTTTTCAAAATAGTAACAAGGATAGTCGATTGCTGTGCAAGTAGCAGAGAATGTTCCGACCATAGTCTCAGGGGCAGATCTAGGGTTTTCTTGCGGGGAGGGGCGGATTTTCAAAAAAAAAATTCGAAAATTGTGTCGACCTTTTTTTAGGTCGACCATATTGGTTTTCTGAGCACTAAAAATACCATGTTGTGGCCAAAGTTTCTACGCCGCAGGCAAAATTTTGAAAAACACAGGCCAAAAAATTTTGAAAACACGCGCGCTCCCCCCTCAAAATTAGTATATATTGGCGCCAAATGCCAAATGCGCCTTTAGAAAAATTTTAGGTCCGTCACCAAATATGGATATCTCAAAATAGTACAAAAATGGATATCTGAATCCCGAAAACGAAATTCCTTGCCATTTTCAATGGTCGAACAAATGGCGCCGGGTATTTGAATTTTAGTGCCTTTTATAAAAACTTAAGTTTGTTTTGTACAAATACTTCCTGTTTTGACTCAATCAGATAGTTTTTTTGTTCATGGATGCACTGCCAAAACTAAATTGAAGCTATTGTGAAGATACACACAAAAACGAAGCTGGTATTTGCAATATAAGCGACAAGAATCCAAGAGGTAGGTTTGAGAAATGAAAAACAGGAACACGAAAACAAAATGAAAACAAAATCCTATTTTCAAATGTCTTGCCCTCAACGGGAAAAAGAACCTCAGTCGTAAATCATTCTCAGCAACTGCCCTGAAAAATAGTGCCTCCGTCGCCTAAGTAACCACAAAGTTAGCTCATGAAGCGGAAAACCCATCCCAGGCCTTAGAAATTTAAATTTTGAAGAATTTAGAAAAATTTTGAAGAAAACTTTTAATTGAAAAAACCTGTGCCAAGAACTTGCGACTTTTTTTGAAGGGCGGTACACATTTTTTTTATTTTTGAGAATCATGAAGGCAAAAAATAAAAAGGTAGCAAAAAATTTCGCTAAAATTTTTCGCTAAAATTTTTTCAAACAACCGGGGGTTGAGAGCTCCTAAAAACAAGTTATAATTAGGTTAAAATTTATGAGCTGTAAAACTAAATCTTGCAACCTTGAAGTAACTAAAGCAATTAATATAAACCCATTTTGCATTTAGAAAAAGGATTTTTTTCAGTTTCTGATAGTTTTTTTCATTTTTGTTTTTAATATTTTTTTGAAAAATCAATCAGAGCAATCGCCTGTTTTCATTTGCTTAAATATATGCTTAGGCTTCTTCCCATGAATGTTTTTACCAAGGCCAAAGCCGGTCGATTCTGTTTTAATGAATATGATGGCAAACTTTTCACGCCTCTTTGGAGATCATTTTAGCAATGTGAGCTCTGAAGCTGAATTATATTAGTCATTATTCATATATGGCAATTTAAAGCTTCGTGTTTTTTTGCATGATAAAAATCATGGCAACAGAATCCTTAAATGGTGTTCGTGGTGCTAAAAAGCAAACGAAGTAATTGTACATTCACTATGTCCACAGAGAAAAACTAATCGCCAATAAATAACTGTCAAACGCTCATTTGTGATTTTAATTAACTTCGAAAAAAAAGTTCGTCGAAGCTTGAATAATAGTTCTTCTTTCTATAAAATATCAAGTTGGTGCTAAATAAGTTTTTCCACCCACACCAATTTTTCGCCCGCTGAATTTTCTGAATGGTAATTGCGGTGTTTACAATGTATAGCTATTTAAGTATATAACTTTAAATGTCCAAAAAAATTAGTCAATATTGTCAAAGTAACGCTTGGTTTGGTACACTTAGATCAAATATTCTAAATGACTTTTTTGCATTTAAGATACGAGAATGATAATTACTACAAGCGAGAGTCAATTCTTCTCCCACTCAATTTTTTGGATTATGTTTGTGGTTTTTGTGGTGAAGTCAGTTCATTCAACTGAGCTGGACTGCATGAACCAGATGGACAGTTCAAAAGGACAATGCTTCTTAATGTTACAAGATCATCCGCAATGTTGTCGGGGTTAGTTTACTTGTATTATCATTTCTAGATAAAATGGATGATTATATTCCGTGGAATTAACTTTAGGAAGTCAAAGTCAAAATTACCCACAAGTTGTTTTGGTTCAGTTCATATAAAGTACGATTGCTGTATTCATACTTTTCATATCAGAAAAAAATTTAGAACTTTAGCTCTGTAACTCGTTTTGGCGCAGAAGTCTGTGCCTCGTTATAGTAACAGAGCTTTTTAGGCTCAGAGCCATTGCAAAAAAAAAAATTGAATAATTTGAATAAATAATAAAAATAACATCAAGAAATGTTAGTTAGTGAACATACCCAGTACTCATGTTGTCAGCCAATAGTTCATAAGTCAAGATCACCAAAATCACCAAGAGCATTCCTGATTGATATCTTGTATCATCGTTACGCATTAACTCATGAGCAGGTGCAGCGGGCACGAGTAGGAGCAAGGAACAAAATAAAATACTCAGGTGCGGATTTAAAGGAAGCTCTTCCCCCCCCCCCCCTACCCCCACCTCTTATAAGCATCAATTTCATGGTGTAAAGAGTGGTTTTACAAGGTTAAACATGAAGACCAAATATGTTTGTCATGACCTAATTAGTTCGCATGCCAATTTTTGTAACATTCGGATAACGTGAACAAAGTTTCACCAGTAAAATTTTGCAGGTGGGGGAAAAAGAAAAAGAGCCCGGGTCTTTGTACTTTTTCCATATTTGGTGACGGACCCAAAAACTTTTCTAAAGGCGCCTTTGGCCCCAATATATACTAACTTTGAGGGGGAATGCGTGCCGAAAAAGCGCAATTTTTTGGTCCAAATTTTTTTGGTCCCCATAAAAAGCCTAAAATGCCTTTTTTGGCCTGTTTTTTTCAACATTTTGAAATCAATTTGGTCGACCTAGAAAAAAATCGTTAGTTTTCGAACATTTTTTAAAATCACCCCCCCCCCCCCCCGAGGTAATACCAAACTACCACTAAACCGATTGCACATCTTGCATTGAAAGAAAGCAATGCGAGGCTGTTTTATTTTAGTCTTCGAGACCGAAAACTGTCGGGAGGAGCTGACGAAGCCCAAAGATGATGCATCGCCTCACGTGGATTTTCTAAACAACTCCCTTTCCTTCGATAGAAGCAGGAATCAACTCTGTATACATGGACTCGAAATGTGAGTGAACAATAATACAGTGTAGTATTTTCAAGTCAGAGCATATCAATACAATCAATGATACTGTTCAGGATTACTCTTATGCGCCAAAAACCTAATATAATAATAATAATTGTAGTTCCTGCGAATCGCAGAGGAGCTATCAGTAGGCCTTAACAGTCCGGTCGAGGATAGTCCATTTGTATTATCTCCCCACGTTCCAGACAGTGTTTTTTTGCTGAGCGAAGCTGTTTTTGCGACTCAAGGCCGTTTTTTTTTGCGTCTAGAACTTTTACGTGGTACCACTATTGCAGCCAAATTTGGCCAGGTTGTGGTAGACCTGAAGCTGGAGGTCAAGTGAGAGCTTGTCCTCACACACTATCATTGCCATGGAATGGGATCGAATACACGATCTGACGATTTCAAAGCGAACGCCTTACCTTTGTGCTAAGTGTCTCTTCGAAAACCTTAAAAGAATATGCGAAAACTTTTAAATAATCATCGCACTTTAAACTGTCCAAAATGGACTGAATTTAGTGCTTATTTCTTTCGAATAGTTTTCTTTTTTCTATGAAAACTGAGCTTTGATTGGTTAAGAAAATTTTGGCGCATTCAGTTATTTGAGCATCAGGGGTTCGCGCATTGTTCAGTACTCTATGATATATTATCAGACATACACCTCATAAACCATCTAAGGTTCTCATAAAAGCTGTTTAGCTCGTCCAGTATGAAGCTTTTTTTGAAAACTAATCTCGTATGGAAAAAACAACAGAATATCATTGAGATTGACAGATAAGATATGGAGAGTTTATCAAAGTGTTTTCTTAAAAAGCTTGTCATTTTGACCAGGGGCGGATCTAGGATTTTTTTAGGTCGACCAAATTGATTTTATGAGCACTCCTAAATCACTGTAAAGGCCCCATTTTGACCAATTTTCCTGCGCCGCAGGCAAAAGTTTGAAAAAACAGTCCAAAAAAAAGCGTTTTTAGGCAATTTTTGGAAAATTTGGACCAAAAAATTGCACTTTTAAGTCTACCAAATTAGTTCAAGCACTCTCAGAACACTCCAAAAGACCTCATTTTGACATAACTTTCAGCGCCGCAGGTAAAATTTTTCAAGAAAAAAACCAGACCAAATGGGTACTTTTGGAAAATTTTCACCAAAAAATTGCTTTTCGTTGGCGCGCGCTCACGATCAAAATTAGTATATAACTGCGTTGAAGGCACCTTTAGAACAGTTTTAGGGTTGGTCTGTTGAAAAATAATACCAACGGGGGGTTCATTTGGTTTGTGAGAGAGTCGACCCCTTCCCTCCTGCCCCACCCTTTCATGAGGTGACCTTCGGTACCTCGTATTTAACGTGTTCTTTTGCAGTATCTTTGCAGTATGTTATGTCATTAGGCTTTAGTCAAGGTCAGTGGAGGTCTATGTGGAGTTACCGTGTTGAACGTGGTCACTCTTTAGTTTAAATACATCGAAGTTAGATGTTGCTATTTCCTTGTTACTAATCTCTGTCCAAAGGACATTTCTTCATTCTCAGTTAAATTGATACTGTGTATCTGATTTATTTATCCTAAACCAACTATTTAACTATGTAAACTAATTTACATTTCACTTTACAACCAAGTTTTGAATTAGAATTCTTCGGCAAATGTCAAACCCCCCCCCCCCCCCCCCCCCCAAAAAATCTACCATAAAAGTGTGACTCCTACCATATGAAGTAATGTTTTTTGCGTTTATCGTTAGGAGGACGGGTGACAAAACAGGAAACCTCTTTGGCTTCCAAGTGTACACGACGAAGTGGCACAAAAATCAGCCTAGGGAAGAATTCTCGTCCCTCAGTTTCATGCTTCTATCGCCGTCCCCTCTTCCTCCAGTTGTGCCCACGGATCCTAAGCTGAGTCCCCTCAAGGACATGATCATGTGTATTGGGTTGGGGACTGAAATCAATTCTACCTCACCAGGTATGTTTTAAACCCCCCCCCCCCCCCACCATTTTTAACCACAATCGTATCTAGTTAACAACCTCCCCCCTTTAGCTAAAAAATATCCTTCCCTATAAATCAATACAATACATTAGCTCTATAGCTTTCTATTGAAAATTATAAATTTGCTGCATTCTGATTGGTGAAAAATTCTATTAACTTGATAAAAAAAAGGGCGGAAATTGTTAAGTAGGTCACCCAATCTGAAGTACCAACATACATAGATCCTCTGTTGCGTCCTATGCAAATTATGCCTTATACTTTTCTGAATTGTTTTCTGGGGCTGGGCTTTGTTGCATCATCATTGTAAGCATAACAATCACCATTTGGAGTCACCGAATTCACAACTGGGAGCTATAATCTTAAACTTTATAGACCTTTTTGATTTTGGCTCCCAATTGCAGCACACCCCCAATATCTGGTCTATCTGATTTTGTTAATACTACTTCAAAAATAAACTTGCAACAGAATGACTATCAAAAACGACAACATAACTGTAAGTGAAATGAGACAAAACTGAAGAAGTTAATGAATAATGGAGCCATATTTGGCAATTAAGACTGAATGAGCAAATCATAGTTTATAAAAACATATGACGATTAAAGCTGCTCGCAAAATCACCGCATACGAGAGCTACAAGATCTGTATAATTGCTTTAAGTTTTGGCAAGTCAATTTTTGTTATATCTTGAACTCAAATGATGGTTTTTGCATGTAAAATCGAACACTAATAACGTTTTACAGAACTTTGGGGTTGATTTTCGGATCTAGAAACTAGATTTTTGAAACATTCTTTGAGTGCGCTTCTGATTTTTCACCGAGGCAGACATCTTTGCAGAACAGCAAAAAACAGTACACTTCAAAAGAAGAAGGAAATAAACATTTTTTGTGACCAAGGAATAAAACATTTTTTATAGAAAAGCGGGATAATCCTGTTTTCCGAAAAGCACAAACAGGAGAAGTGAAAGGAAGTTGCGATAAAGCTCACACCCCCTTGACCAACAGAAAAGGATCCATTTCAAGGAAATGGTCTCTTTCTCGCATGCACAGCGGATGATCGTAAATGTTAAAACTACATAACGAGGCCAAATTGTGCACTGCATAGGCGCACAATTTTGTGTCTGTATGTTCCTGGATTCCAGAGACAAATCTTTAAACATGTTCCAAAATGTAAGTGGATTCCACTTACAAAAGTTTCGTGGATTCCGCGTACAAAAACCTGTAACTTAAATTTTGTCGGCACATTTGTTTTGTTGCGGATGCCGCAACAAGTAAATATGGCTAGTTGTTCTGGATTCCGCAACCGTAAGTGAATTCCGCAAACTTAAGTGGAATTCGCAAACAAAATGGTAATTCCATTTAAAATTTGCGGACTCCACAAGTAAACATACACATGTTTTATTATTTGTTTGTGGATGCCACAAATTGTTCTGAATTCCGCAAATACAGTTGCGGATTCCCCAAGTTTGCCTATTTGTGGAGCGATTTTGAGCGGTACAAAGTTTTAAGTATTTGTTTGTGTGTCGTGAGGCTTTCTTCGGTACCTCGTAAGTTATTTGTTCTTTTGCAGTCATACTGCAAAAGACACTAATTATATTAACTAAGGTCACTGTTAACCTCTTTTGTCAATACCACGCTGAGCGTGTTTTTCATTCTCATATCTGTTATCACTACTGTTTGTTAGTAAATCTGATTCTACATATTCTCATGCTCTATCGGGATAAAATTCCTAAACCAAGTCTATATCTGAAACCAAGCATCAAATTAACTCAAATTAACAAAGCATCTAACCCGAAAACAATTTACTTATTGTTCAACAACCAAGTTTTCATTCTAAAACTCCGGCGAATCTCATGGCGCAGCCAGCAGTTCCTGTGAACGAAGACAGGACTGACCTGTTAGGCATTCCTACCTATTGGGCGAAAGCCTCTATTAACCCACCATTCCTGTGGGAATCTTGAATCGGTCAATTTTTTTTTGCTGGTCTGAAGGATAATATCGATCCTCATGATCTGTTAGTTGAACCCACCGGGGTCATCGATGAACCTCCTCCAAGACCGGAGTCAGTTGCCGAAGGCGAAGACGCTGGAGCAGCCAATGCCCGCAGACAGAGAGATCAAGCAGCGATCCGGAGAATTACCGAACTAAACGTGGAGAGGAGGAGAAAAGGCCCTCGGATCAGTCAGAATTTGTTCTATCATGAAGCCGAAGCTCGTATGAAGTCTCGTTTATTCTTTGCTCTGGGAAATGAAGGGAGGAGACGATTGGCTGACTCATTTCCCCACACGGACATTAGTAATATTCCTTTTCGAGAATTCCACACCGGATGTGAAACGCTATTCAAGGTTGAGCGAGAGTTTACGGTGGAGCGTATCAAGCTGTATAACACAATTTTCATGCTTGAAAATGACACTTTCTCGTCATTTTACGCTCGCTTGAGCGCTCAAGTGGCTTTGTGTAATTGGCCTAATGATCAGGAAAATGAGACTTTAAAAGACCTCTTTATTGGGCGGATTCGAGATGTAGAGGTTCAACAACAACTCATCAAGGTGAAAGCTGATCTAGATGTAACTTTTAAGCTCGTACTCGAATGCGAGAAGGGAGCAAGTACGTTGGCTCAGTTTCAAAAACTTCTTCCTCATAATCAACATTCAACCGGCATTAAGGTTAAACAAGAACCTACTTGCTCTATTCAGTCGTCGAGAGGGAAGCGGAATTATCCTCAAAACCAAACTAATCGACAGCCGTTTCAAAATAATCAAACAAGTAAATCATGTTACTTCTGTGGTAATCCTTATAGCTCGGAGCACCGAAAGTCTTGTCCAGCTCGCGACGTAACATGTAATCTCTGTCGGAAACGAGGTCATTTTGCGAAATGTTGTAACTCGTCGAAACGACGTGTCAATCTGGTGCAGGAAGATGAGGACGTGGCATGTCCCTCTGTGGATTGCAATTTCATAGATGTAGACCAGGATAGTGAGCCCGAATATGAGGTGTTACAGCTGGAGTCTGCTGTCATGATTAATAGCGTAGAAACTCTTAAATCAAGTGGTGGAAAACCTCGGAGCCTCAGCATTCAGTTGCGCTCTGGTTACAGTTTTTTCTATTCGACAGTAGACACAGGGAGCCCAATTTTGTTCCTGAATAAACGCACCTGTGATTTACTCCTGCAAAGAAGTCCATCAATTGAGTTTCGCGAGAAAAGTAACAAAATGTTGCGTAGAAAAGTAACAAATTCGACTTTGGCCCGTTGCGGAATCCATTCAAAATGCACAAAATTCACAGTTTGGCTTCGTAATGTATTCAATTTAACTGCAAAAATATGTACTAGTTAATCATGTCCTAATTAGTTCATCCTCCACAATTTATATCTTAGAAAAGTTAACTCCTGCTTCTAATTATATACCACAAAAAATTGAGTCCGGCAAATGAGACAATCATCTGTTGAGACGACAACCATTTTTGATTGGATTTTAAGACGACGCTATCCGCAATTCTCCAATTTTTTTTCTAAGAAATATAAACCGGTTAAATTTGATCAGTTCATTTTGAAAATGTTAATGCCCAATAGTCGTCTTAAAATCATATCGTCCTAGTGTTCGGTCGTCTTATTTACCAGCACCAAAAATGATGCAGTCTTAGTCTATTATGGTTTCAACCAGGGCAGGTCAAAAATTAATTGTCATTGCAATTAACTGCATCTAATAGAACTTTTTCCGTGCAATTAATTGATTGCCGTTCCGGACCAATTACAATTACTGATCGTTCTCTACCAAATAATTGCAATTACCTATATCAATTGCAAATAATTTTATCAATTACTTTTCTCAGAAAAACCACACAAAATATGAACTCGCATTTTTTACTTCTGACTTTGCTTGAAAAATTTTTGAATGACAAATTTACTGAGAAGATTTTTCAGCCCAGCAGAAAATGCAAATTCTGGTCTTTGGCAAAATTTTTTGCCGCAAAACATGGAAAAGCAGTTATTTGAAACTCAAAAAAAAGCTGGGATGGCAAAGAACTCGTGTCAAACTTTGTTAACCAAGGTTAACCATGAGTGGTGCTATGTGCTCCCAATTAACTGTACCAATAATTGCAATTTAATTTTGGGTTGTGTCAATTAATTGACAATTAATTTATAAGTTTCAAAATAATTGCATTTTAATTTCCTGCTGTCCAAACAAAACTTAATCTTCCCCAAATTTAAGACCAACCTTAATTTTGCGGTTTACGCACGCACCATCTTAAATATTTTGGGCAGTTTAATTTTAAAACGTTGCATTGAGACATTCTTTAAAATCGATTTTAGAACTAGGCAATAAATTCGGTTCTAAAAACCTCTATTTTAATAGAAGAGAAAACATTATATTAGGACAATTTTTTAAGAAATAATTTATGATTGGGTTATTTTTTATTCAAACCAATGTAAAAAAATATATTAAAAAAAAACGTTCCGATTGTCATTTTCGTTATTAAAAATTTGGAAGTTTGATAAAAAAAGATTGGCCAACGACCATTGTAGCATAGTTTATGGGCGTTTTCTATAATTTATTTATGAGACTCAATGCGTAATCTTAAAAATAACAGTGTTCAAAATCATTAAAAAGTTATTTGGTCCCAATAACTCTCAACAAGACTCAAGTTGATTATCAATTCAGTTTGGTTCTGCTGGTACTAAAACAAACAAAATTTGAAGCTACATCATTTTTTCTTTCCAAAAAAGTTCTCCGAAATAATTTAACGGCCAGTCGTCGTCGAGTTTTTGCGTTGATGTAAAAATTCATGTCAACGTGTGGTTAAATTATAATTTAGCGGTTTAATTCGATAATTTTATGCACCGCGGATGATCGTAAAAGTTGAAACCATTCAAATTAACTCCAATCATTTGACCTAGTTAACCATGTCCTTGTTAGTTCATCCTTCAAAATTTATACCGTAGAAAACTCTTAGTTAACCTGCTTATAATTATACACCACAAATAATAGTGTCCGGCAAATAAGACAACGATCTGTTGAGACTACAACCATTTTTGATTGGATTTTAGGACGACGCTACCCGCAATTCTCCAATTGTATTGCTAAGAAACATTAACCGGTTAAAATTGATCAGTTCATTTTGAAAGGATTAATGTTCAATAGTCGTCTTAATATCATGTCGTCTTAGTGTTCGTTCGTCTTATTCACCTAGCACCAATAATGATGCAGTCTTAGTCCATTATAGTTTTAACCAAGGCAGGTCAAAAATTAATTCTCATTGCAATTAACTGCAACTAATGGAACTTTTTCCGTGCAATTAATTGATTGCCATTCCGGACCAATTACAATTATTGATTGGTCTCCAACAATTAATTGCAATTCACTTTATCAATTGCAAATAATTTTAGCAACTACAATTTAAAAAAAAACCACAAAATATGGACTCGCATTTTTTACTGAAAGACAAATTTGACGGAAGATTTTTCAGTACTGCAGAATATGCATATTCTGATTTTTGGCAAAGTTTGTTGCCGCAAAACATGGAAAAGCAGTTTTTTGAAAATCAATAAAAAAAAACTGGGATGACAATGAACTCGTGTCAAACTTTGCTAACCAAGGTTAACCATGAGTGATGGTACGTGCTCGCAATTAATTGTACCGATAATTGCAATTTAATTTTGAGTTGTGTCACTTAATTGACTATTAATTTATAAGTTTCCAATTAATTGCAATTTTATTTTTCTGCTGTTTCATTAAAATGTGATCTTCCCCAATTTCAAGAACAACCTTAATTCTGCAGTTTACGCACGCACCATATAAATTATTTTGGGCAATTTAAGTTTAAGGCGCTGCATTGAGACATTCTTTAAAATCGATTTTAGATTTGGGCAATAAATTCGAGATAAAAAACCACTATTTTAATAAGTCTCAAGAGAAAACCTTACGTTAGGGCAATTTTTCAAGAAATAATTTATGATTGGGTTATTTTTTATTTCAAACCAATGTAGAAAAAGTATTTAAAAAAAACGTTCTGATTGTCATTTTATTTGTTCAAAATTTGGAAGTTTGACAAAGAAGATTGACCAATCTTTGTAGCATAATTTATGGGCGTTTTCTAGACTTTGTTTATGAAGCTCATTGCGTAATCTTAAAATTAACTGTGTTCAAAATCATTAAAACGAGGCAAGTTACTTGGTCCCAATAACTCTCATCAAAATTCAAGTTGTCTATCAACTCAGTTTGGCTTTGCTGGCGTTATAACAAACAAAAATTGTAGCTATGACAGTTTTTTCTTCCAAAAAAAATTATCCGAAACAAGTTAACGGCCAGTGGTTGGCGAGTTTTTGCGTTAATGCAAAAATTCTTATCAATTTGCGGTTGAATCTTAATTTAAACGTTAAATTTTATAATTTTATGCTTTTGTATTGATTTTTGAGGTCAGGTGGACGCTGAATTCTATATAGGCGATTAATCTCAGTTGGCGTTTAGATGTGTATGTGAAGCTGGAGATGATTCCTTTGAAACCGAACAAGCACGAGCCTCCACTGACACACCCCCAGAACCCAATCTCCCTGTGCACCCTGGACAGTCTGCACCTGGAGAAGGAGGGCAGGTGTGAAGTGAAGAAGGTGGAATTGACCCCGCATACATGCGAAGTGCAAGCGAAGCAGAAAGTAGAAGAGGTGACGCCTTTGATGCCATCAACCAACATCCAGGTTACAAAAAAAAAACTATGTTGAAGTCTACAAAGCAATGAGTTTTCTTAAGTTTAGCTAACAAAATAACACTCTCAAAGGAAAAGAACGGACTTTTTTTGCTATAACCATGCAAACTGTTCACTAAGGTTAAATTAATTCATAATTAATTATTAATTGCTCTTTATGCCACTCACTCTCATAGATTCAATCAAAGGCTATCCAGCCTCTTTAAATGTATCTGTGTCAATTGTTTCCACAAACTCTATTTCAGTTATTTCTCCCTAATCTGGGTTGTTTTGTTGCGTAAACCTTTTTTGGCGCTTTAACGCCATTTTTTGTACCTCTAATTTCACGTGAAATCGTTATCGCAGCCTAGAGCGAGTATCGAGCTATATAATCTAAAATAATATTAAAACATTGAAAATCAGATGGGTTACAATAGAGATCCATCTGAGAATTATTCATTCAGTTTAAGTTATTCTGAGAAATGGAAAAACGTGGGTAATTTTATCTCGACACCGGGGCAGCAAACAAGAATAATTCAGATAAGTACAAAATTCGGCGCCCTAATAGGGATCAAATCTAAAAATTTTACCAAATCTTCTTTGTTCATAGAAAGCTGCCAATCTGGACCGTTCAAAAGATTAATTTTTCGAGAAGCCCAAACTGACTCGATTGCTTTGATCGTGTTTATGGTTATCCAGGGTCCCGTCGGTCCAGTTCATCATGCTAACAGCTTGTAAGAGCTCAACAAATGAAAGACAAATTTTTGATGTTGAGCCTAAGTTTCACTTCAATTTTCATAATTTTGAGTTCGCAAAAATTCTAAGTGCAACTTTCGAAAAATTTGAAACAACAAAATCACCAAAAAAACATCACCAATTAAAACTTTTATGTTGCCAGCTCGTAATCCCGGACAAAACTCAAGAAGATGAAGCAAAAAAAGTTTTAATAAAAATAATGAATTATAATCAATTAAAAATGAAATAAATTTAAATCAAATTTCAAAAAGCTTTGAAACAAAAAAAAATAAAAAATAGACTATAATGGAATAAATTAATTTTGTTTTTGCTTTGGAAAAACGTGTTATTATCAATTTAATTGAGTATGAAAATTATTTTCATTTTTATTAAGACTGACAGCGGAGTGTTAACATAATCGATTATTATCCCTATAAACTAAGCGTGATTACTAAATCGCAATTCTCTGAATCATCCCTTATTGTAAATACTTAACCTAGTGATTTCCTGGTTTAAAAAAGATGAATTTTTGTTGTGTTAATCATGATTTAAGAGCCTGAAAAACATCGATAAATTGTGGTTTACAATCTAGAGTCAATGCATTTAAAGGCGAGTGAGATTTTTTCACTTTCTTATAACATGCCGATGATGGCAAAGAATGTAATATTCTACTGACACTTGTTTTGAAAACTGAATTTGATAATTTATTATTGTTCCGACTTTCGTAACGAAAGTTACGGAATATTTGTGCTCGGGTGGGTTTTTTTTTCTTCAGAAAATATTCGACTTTTTAACTAGCCGTTTTTGACGGAACTTATTAATATCATTCAAAAAGTATTGTTGTCTTGAGCTTGAATATGAAAAGATATTTCACCTGTGATTATATTTTGTAATGTTGTGGGGGTTTAAATATTGCCATTTTGGCCAATTTGGGACAATTAACGCGCGATGTATTTTGCGCTATTAACGCGTAAGCGGAGATTTAATCCGCCATAGAAATCGTTCCAAATTGGTTGAAAGAAGCTTATTCTCCAGATTTGAATTGTTACTAGGAGCGAAATCAATCACTTTGTAATTTATATGGCGTGTGGCGGGGGTTGTTTGTTTTATAAAATTTGAAAAAAAAATCCATTTTATTTCATTACATTTAATTTTTTGGGGTTGTTGCTGCTCCATAGACCTTAAAGGCAGTCGGAACATTCAGGGTTTTGCCCTGATACGAGCAGTCTTGTTAATTCTTTGCAGCTATTGATAAGACTTAGGAAAAACTAAGCAAACATTTCTTTTAACCATTAAAATATAATTCTCTGCTGCTGTATAATTTTCAATCTGTGAGTGAAAACTCAGAGTGAAAACTCGGGGGTTAATCACATGCGCGAAGGACCGAAAACAAAGTTAGCCGATTGTCAATTTTTGAAAAAAGCAATTGCCATTCAATTAAAATAACTTAAAGGAAGCACTATTTTGCTTCTTTCATAACGAAACCCTTGAAATATCAAATTTGTACCAATTCGGCCGCGGTCAGTGTCAATTTGAAAGTTTGAATATTCGGCCAACTTCAATACTCAGTCCCTGGAAATGTTTACTTTCTTTTCAAATTTTTGATTACTGAAATTTGATTGGCTGATTTTTATTTTCGCGCATTCGGTCCTTCGCGAGGGATTCGGGATTCCAGCTGAAAACTCTGCTGCTGTATAATCTTCAATCTATGGTTAGGGTATTTGAATGAATTTTTTTAAAAAAAGCAGGAAAAAATCATAAAAATTATATTGAGCTTTGATCGAAACGCTGTAGAATATGTTCTACTATAAGCATTCACTAATGCTATCTAAATTTGAAGTCTACAATTTTCAGCGTTTTATTTAGACTGAAAGACCAGATATTGACGTTAGCCATACTGAAGAAAAAGGGACGGACTCAAATAACTTCTGGCAACTTGTTCTGTGTGTGCCTGTTTGGGTAGTTGTGTTGATTCTGGCTTTCATTCTAATTATCAGTTGTGCCCTGCTGGCAGCTTTCGCCCGTGGCTGGTTAGTATGCAAAAATTACCTTGCACTCATATGTTACAAATCCTCTGCCCCTATAAAACCTGTAGAAAATTTTTTAGATTGCATCAAGCAATTCATTAACTCCACGGCATTAATGCGAGCAAGCAGTTACAAATTGTACATTTGCCGTACTCGAAATGCTTGAAAATTCAGAATGTCTTTCAAAAAGTTGTCTTAACTCTGTTAATTAGCAAAACGAGTAAATTAGCAAAAAAAATTACCATCGCAGTTTTTACAGGCGATGTAAAAAAATTCACGGGAAAGACGAGGAGGTGAATCATGGTCCAAATACAGAACCACTGCTTGAAGGTACTGCCCTTGCCCAATCAGTGCGCGGAAACAAAGCAGCACAGAATTTAACTGACGATCCTAACAGCCATAATAACCCAGTCCATCATGATTACGATGCCACCTACTGCAGAAATCAGGCTCCAAGAGAAGGCACAAATTTCTCGGCCAATACAGGTCTTTTCAATCTTTATCAAAAACAAAAAATAAATAAATTCAAAGATTCTCTAACTCTTTTGATTAAATTCATCCAACGTGAGTGAACACGTTCAATTCCTTTCATAAAACAACAAGGACAGCCCGTTTCTGTGCAAGTAGTACATGAAATTCCATCCACAATAATTAAAAAAACAAAAATTTTAAAAAAAATTGTCGTTTTTTGTTCGCGGTGCTGATTTAAAAAACGCAAAACTGAGATAAAAAGTTTGGCAAAAATTTCTATCGAGGTTTCAATGGATAACCAATGAAAAATTTCCAAAAAAAAATCAAACTTTTACACAAAAATTTAGTGGATTTTCAAAAATTCATTTCCGAGAGGGCGCCAAAAAATTAAAGTAAAACAAAGATTTCAAGGCTTAAACAAATATTTACTGACCCAAAATTAAACTGCTAGCTCGCTTTATCTACTCGAAGCTAGAAAAAAATTCTTAAATTTCAAACCGACTTTTCTAGACTTGAAATTCTATCAAGTCGAGTCACGGCAAATCTTTTCAAATCCAATTATCTTTGTTCCGACCACAAAGTCGCAAGAAACGTAAATCAATTTTCTCCTTCAAAATCAGGTATCTCAAAGACATATGGTACAAAGTCGAGTGATGAATGGTATTACTATCCTTCGGTCCAAAAATGATTGGTTAAAAAGGTACGGTTTCTGAAAAATGTCTTTACAAATTTTGCTTTTGAAATCACATTTCAATTTAAACCGGAGAGTTTGTAATCTACTTACATTAAGCTATTAATCATCAATTCTTAATGCGTAATGGGACGTCTCTTACAAAATCAATATGCTCGGAACTTTCTGTGCTATTTGTACAGCAACCGGTTGCTTCTCATAATAACAAAGCATTTCTCAAAACGCGGTTGGTACTCCTTGTTTATAGAACAAATGGTGCGTCGAATTAGACAAGTGAAAACAGAAAGAAGGATAGCCGGTTACTGCTGTGCAAGTAGCACAGAATGTTCCGACCACAGTAGTTAGAAAACTACGGCTTAGAACGTTTTTTTTCCCAAATTAGTGTAGTTTTTTCTGCTTGGTGTGATGAAAGGATCTGAAATAAAAATATTCTTTGGAGATATAATCAGACATAAAAAAATATAACATAAAAATATTATATAAATTATTTTTTTGCAGAAATATTTTTGATTTTTTGATATTTTTGGTTCCCAAAATGAGCTTAAAAAACTCCAAAAACTAGTTTTACGTTCTTAAATTTAAGTTTTAAGGTCTTAAATTCGGCAAAATGCAGCTGCTGTAATGCTGTTTGCTTGCTTTATTCGCTCGAATTAAGACGAAAAATCAAATGTTTCAAACCGGTTTTTCTCAAAACTGGGAATTTTTTTTAGAAATTTTTGAATGTCGTTTGAATCACGAATGAAAGGGCTTTAATGTGATACATCTTTCAACCTAGTCCGATTTTTATTTGTGGTATCTGATTTTGCGTGGAAACAAAAAAAACACCCTAAAACAAAGTTCCTCCCCATTGTCAATGGTCGGAAGAACAAGAGTAGCCGGTTGCTGGAAAAAGAACACTGAAAATACCGACAAAATATTACAACTCCAAGGTCTGTTTTCTAAAAATGCACAATGCTGTCTTTTCTTGTCATTTCTTTCAATTATAAATAAATTTAAGGTTTAAATTTTTTAGGGTGATTATTTTTTATGGAAATTTAAACTATAAATTAGCAAAAAAGAGGTCGAAATAAAACACATTGCGAAATAGTACCAAAAAAGGAAAGGTCCGTATGTTATACTAGTTTAATTTGCGCTTTCTAAATGGATTTTAGGACATACAAACGAGGCAAACAGCGCCAAGTCTCAAAAACAGTTTGTAAAAATTGAAGATAGAAAAGACGACACACGTACAGGAGCTGAAAGTCTTCTACTAACAGGCGCTACTGGTGATGGATACTCGGTAGCAATGGAAAACCAGGCGGATTTGATTGGGAACGGAGTTCAGCCGCACCATGATCAAACAAAACAAAGAAAGAGGGCCGCAGAAGCTTCCGATTCGACACTAGTGGATCCGACAATTCAACTTAGAGGCGAAACGGAAATTCACGCCACTTGCAATTCACAAACTAATAACCAAGGTTAATAGAAAATTTGTTAATACTTAAGTCTTATTTCTCTTAATTCGTAAAGTTGAACTGAAAAAAAAACCAATAAGGAAAGGCGGTTTATTGTCATCAACCATATTGCAAAAACTTACCTCACGAATTCAAGATGAGAAAAAATTGTTATACGTTAACGAAAATGAAAAAAAAAGTTTTTTTTTTCAATTTTTTAGTCCAAGAAACTATATGACACATCAGAAAAACTTTACTAGAAATATTATGGTGTATTTTGATGTGCAAAATCAGAGCCGAAATTGTCCATCAATTTTCTTTGGCATTTCTTTGTTAATAAAAAAATACGCCACAACTATGTAGTAAATTGATAAGAAAAATATACCAAGAGAAGCCTCTTATACAGCCAGATAGAGTTCAAGGAGAGTAAAATTTTTTGGAGATTTTAGCGTCGGACTATGTAAGAGGCTCCTCCTTGATATAGTTTTCTCAGCAATAAATTAGGTAGATTTAGCGTATTTTTTGATTAACCGATAAATGCCAAAATGACTCATTTTTATGATAAACTTTTGGTTCCAATTTTCGCAAAATATACTGAACCTTAATAATTCGGCAGTGTACCAAGTAGCATAGAGTTCGATTTGCACAAAAGTTTCTTAAGTGAAAATTGTATCGACTAGTTTAAAAATCAAAACAAAAAAATCAAAACTGTTCAAACATAAAATCATTACGCACAGAAAACAATAATCACATTTGTTTTTACGTATTCCAAAAATGTGCGGCACTCAGAGTTTGGTTCGAACCATTACTGGCCAGAGTGCAACTGTTCACAATTTTTGTTTCAAGAAAATTCATTTGCTGGCTGATTGCTTAATTTATCAGCTTCCTATTGCTCAGAAATGCATGTTTCAGATTGAAAAGATTATTTTTGTTCGCTTATATTTCTGAGAAGACAAGCTATCAAAGTTACGCTAGTCGATACATTTTCATGTTTTTCAAATTTTTATGCTAATCGAGTTTTATACTGGTCACCTGATGAATTTGGTGGATGTGTAAGTCACTTTTGTCTCTTCACTCTTCATCCGGTTTTAACCAATTTCAGAAACACGTGTTTAATTTTTCCAATTTTTCCAACACGTTCTCTGGTTATTTAAAATAAGCACTATTAACAGCGTAATTTTTACGCGAAATTCTAAAAAAAAATCTTTAACAAACTCGAAACAATGAAAAAATTTGTTTTCGAAAATTGTGGTGAAAATTGTTTAGAAGAAAACTGTTTTTCAAAATCATTTTGATGACTCTGTCAGAAATGGTTGTTCTAAGTTGGAACAGACACCCCGTTCCGCATATGTATTGTGAGGAAAAAAATCAAATATATCGGGAAAAGTTCAGACCGGACTTCGTGCGATCCAAATGAGGCTTAAAATAGTTTCACGGTGATATATTACTATACTTGACAGATTCAAGTTAAATAGCTTAATCGCTCTGTGTTTTGCTTCGAAGGGTACATGTTTTTTCAAATCCAAATTTTATGGCAAAAGATGTGTAAGTTTTGCATTTTTGAATAATAGTTTATCTGGCGGAAAGATATATTGACAAAACTATCTTAGTGGCATGTACAATTGAATAAGAACAAAATGACTATTTTATCCACATTGACAAAAATGGATAAAGCCTGACTATATGCAGTAAATTGACAGATTAACGTAACTATAAATACGATTTATTGACAAACATTTTGCAATCGATAATCGAATCTCTACAGATAGAATCTATATTTGTTTTAACAAAAAGATGATTTTCGTTGCCAAAACAATCGATTTTCTTGTTCTATAAAAGCTATACATCATCCGAGATACAGAGACGAAGCTGCGTTTTGCAAACACTTTCCAGAATATGACCAAAAAGCAGCTCTTTCAAATTAATTAAGAAAAAGTAGAAATAAGCCTCGAATTAGCAAAAAAAGGGCTCCATGTAGGATTCGATTTTGCGACCTACTGCAATCAAGAGATTTTGAGTCTCGCGCACTATCAACTCAGCTACGCAAGCTTAACAATCGACAAACACTAGTCCCGAATAAAGCAGTTACATATGCTGATAAATTGCCAATGCCATTCAGCAAACTTGGCACCAAATATAACTAGACTCTATTTTGCAAGTAACAATTTGAAAGTTAAAAAACTGAAGGCATCCACAATAACTTTGCATGTAACAAATCGGAAAGCATAAAGCCACTTTACTTTCTGTAAAAATTAAGCATTTCAAAAAATTGCTAGATATATAGAGTAAGAAAAATTTTGAATTTTTTTTCAGGTTTTACTTTCTTTTTGAAAACTTTTTTCGGTTCATTTGATGAAATTGAAATGCATCAAATGGGGTAACTTATTACCATTCGACTGTCAAAGCACATGCTATGAAAAAGCTGTAAAGGTGCCCCAAAAGTGGCATCAATGTTTGCGACTTAGGTTGATGAGCAAAAGAAGGTTCGTACTAATACACTGGCTTCGCGAGTGTAACAACATGTATTGTCCAAAAATACGAATATTATTCTCCGACTTTTTTACATGTAATTAAAAAAGCTGGTTCCTTATTTTACCTTTTTGAATAGTGTTTTTGCTCTAATTCGGTTCAATTGATTAATTGTCTAAAAACTATAACGGTCGTAAAAATTTCAATTTTGACCATCCCAAAATATTTGTATGTTTAATATATATAAAATATAATGTATGTGTAAAATATAATATGTTTTTTTTGTTCACAAAATTTAGCAAAACTTTCTCAATTTTATAGCGAGCTGAACTTGCTTTAGCAGGAGTGTTTACCGAAAAATATAATTTTCAAGAAATCACTCGAAGATTTTGCAACCTAAGAGTTCCCGCGGTTTGTGCAAAACTTCTTCAAATGCCATTTATAAGATCAACTTTTTCAGCGCAATTTTTTTTTAAAAAAACACCCACAGAAAATTAGAAAAACTAAATTAGAAAAATAGTTTTTGCTGCACGATCTTTCCACATTACTGATTTCATTTTTTTTAAATGTCAAATAAAGCACAAAAAATGTAACTGAAATGACTACATCAAAATTTACTTCAAAATACTCATATTATCTAATAGGAGACTGTGTTAAAAAATCAGTTTATAATCTGTATATAATATAAACAGAGTCTGTATAAAATCTGTATATAATCAGTTTATAGTCTGTATTCAATCAATATATAAGATGTAATTAATCTGTTTAAAAATTGCAGATTGTCTGTATATAATCAGTATACAATCTGCTTATAGTATGCATGGACTTCTTGGGTTTATACTATATAATGAAAAAAAAACTGTATGAAACTTTTTCAAAACAAAACTCATCATAATCGATTATTAAAACTAAGAAAATGAAATTTTCTGTATGAAAAGACAACAGATCCAAAAACTGTATATTTTTCTAATGATAATCAATTTTGGTCCATTTTTTTTCACTGCTGTTATGCATTATAGATATCAAGTTTAAGGCAATACTCAAAAATGCTCAATTAGCCACCTTTTGTAATACATCACCGCTTTTAATATAAAATCATTTTTGAACATTTAAGAGCGTTGTATGTGTCAAAAATGAGCGTTAAAACAGCCCACCTTATGTCATTATTCCATCCCAATCTCGGTAACAGGTCGGAGCAAAAATGCGTTTTGATGTTATAAATCATCCTCAAAAAGACCATGTACAAAAATGGTTAGAATTCAACAAACAATACCAAAAGATAAAAAGTGAGACACTGCGGAGGGAATCGAGTTCATTTGTCATTCGGGGAAGATTCCACCCCTGATTAAAGCTCAACTTAATTATGACTAAATGCGAGATCTATTTAGCGCCAATGTTCAAAATATGTTTTTATTTAGATCAATCACAATCAGAATCGTCTTTGTAGAAGGACGTTGATCTTTGCTCGATGGAATCTCAAATGAATCTACTTAGTAATAAATGAACTGTATTTGTAGACTGCCAAGAAACTGCTTTTACTCTAATATATGTTTTTTTTGTACTCTACATTAAAACATTTTTAAGCCTAGTTGACTACCTATCATACAATTTCATATATGGAGACTATGGAAAAAACGCAAAACTTACAATTTTCATTTAAGCATTTTTTCAATCGAAAGATTAACTTTTCGAAAATGTACAACTGGTGTACAACTCAAACAAAACCAATGGGTGGTAGTTTTGGTTGAACAAAAAAAAAGCTTCTCATACAATTTTATATATATAGAATTAAATGACATGCATTTTTTAATAGAAAAAAAACACAAATTTGAGTTCAAAAATTTTTTATCCCGTTTTTGGCTGCAAACTTGCTTCTATGCTCGAATATACATTTTACGAAAAAAAATGTTGCATGCAAAATTTGACTTTGGCGTCTTTAACGTAGTCCAGATTGATTTTTTCACCAAAAAATGATTTTTTTTAAACAATTTTTTTAACATTCTAAGATGAACATAAATTTGTAAAAAAAACAGGCCTCTTTTCTCAGGCCAATTTTTTCTGCCCTATTCAAAAATGTATGTCTTTTGTGGATGATTCTATGCTTTCGCCATTTTCAAAAAACTTTATTTATTTCCAAATTGTTTTTTTTTTTGGTCTATGAAATACAATAATAAGCATTTTCTTCATAGCAACAAATTGTATGATAGGCATTTCTTAACTTAGAAACGTGACTCTTCTATTTATCCACAAAATATTTTTAATCAATATATCTCTACTTGTATTTGTAGACTGCCATAGAATTAGTTTAATTTTACTTTGATAGCCCTGTAATTTATCTTGAAATGCTCTAGATTTAAACTAAACTTAAATTTTTTACCACAAAAACTATATACATATCAACTTAACTGTACTTGTATTTGTAGACTGCCAGGAATCTAACTTAATTAATCATGATATGATGTACATGCACTCTGCGCTGCCTTAAAATGTTCTAACTTTAAAACATATCATAAGTCTTTCACCCCAAAAAAATGTATATCAATTTACTCCTATTTAATCTACCCTTACAAAACTAGCACTAATTCAGATCCATGATCCGCTACTGAGTGAGACTTAGTGGTATCGTTTCCATTATTGTTCCGAAATTTGAAGCAAGAGCAGAAAAAGTAGAAGACTTCTACTAATTTACATATAACTTATCTACATCAGTGGTACTTAGCAATTCCAAGACACTGTTTCGTATGGACAGTTGATTTTTACTCTGGGTAGTTTATATACCACTCAAGTCAGTGGAGGATAAGTTGATAAAACTTTAGTAAAAAAACACCACAAAAAACGACTTTTGCTCAGTGGGTTGATTTTTGGTCTCTAAGCTAGCCATCAGATTTCTAATTTTTCTATAATCAATCACTGAAAATGGTGAAACTGTAATTTTATTTAGAACTATGTTTTTTTTCACCCACACCTAAATGCAAATCGTGCCGAGAAAAAATCAAACTTCAAGTTATCGATAGGAATTATTATCTGTTTTATTTAATGCATAAAATGTACTGCATTATTTTTTTGAGAAAACTGAATCAATGGATAATTTAATTCAATTTTGCGCAGAAAGTTAAAAAAAAGCCATCAGATAGTTGGAGAAGTATCCAATACCGATAATAAGATTGACTTGTTGGATTATTTGAACTTTCGAGTGGTAAAGAGAAAATATATCACCTAAAGCTTTTGGAAAATCAAGAATCTTTAATCTTTAATCATCGATTTTTTTTAGATAAAACTAAACAAATTGAGACAAGGCTGCTCGCATCAGGGAGGCCCTGAATGTTCCCACTGCCTTTTAGGGTCTATAAAGCATTAATAACATGAAAAGTTAAATTAAAAAAATAACATAAAAAATTAAATGTAAAAAATTAGAAGTTTTGCAATTTTGAGATTTTTGCTATAATCATTCCCCCACACGCAATATAAAGTTTAAAAAATGATGAATTTCGCTCCTAGTAACAAATCAATTATGGTAAATAAGCTTCCTTCATTCAATTTGGAACGATGTCTAAGACCGATTAAAAGTCCGCTTACGCGTTAATGTCGCGAAATATAACGAGAGTTTATGGTCCCAAATTGGCCATCTTTAAACCCCCATTACTTTAGGAAAAACGATAAGACGTGAAATATTTTTTCAAATTTAAGCCCAGGACAACAATAATTTTTGAATGATATAAAAAAAATCCAGTCAAAAATCGAAATTTGTCTGAATAAAAAACCCAACTCGAGCACAAATATTCCGTTACTTTTGTAACGAAAAACGGAACAAACACTAGATCAACCGGCATTTCTTTATATCGCCCGTATCGATTTATCAAGAAAATGTGTTCGCGCTCGATTTTTGCTCCTTAGGAATTGAGATTTCATTTATTTGAAGCCGATTTTTAATTCGTTTGCCCAATGGTAGGCCAATTACGCTCTCCAAAAAAAAGTATTTAAGGCATGGAAAAACGTTTAAAAAAGGGATTTTCAACAGAACTGCATTTTAAAGTCATTTGTAGGTCATGAGAGACAGTGCATTAGGTCTGACTTTCTTTACTGTGGGGAAAATTTTAAAATTACTCCCCTGTCAAGTTTGATTTTTACCGTTTTTTTTTTTGTTAATTTGGTCTTAAAATGAAGGTCAATTTCGCTCTTCAATAACTTAAATACATATGGCGCGAAAAACGTAGTGCCACAACTCGCATTAAAAGACAACTCGCAATATACTCACCGCCGCAGTCGCGCCAACGTGTTGCGAGCTTGCCATCAGAGGGCAGGACTTCATACGAAATTTAGAGCCGGTTATCGCCGCTAATCGGCGACGCGCGCCCACCGGCGGCCTCAAACCGAGAACATAAAGTTTCCAATGAGCTTCAAAAACTTTATTAGAGTTGTCGCTTTCCTTAAATTTTGCAAGTTGCATTTTGTTGCGAGTTGTCTTTTCTTGCGAGTTGCTGCGGTACCCGCGAAAAAACATGGTTTTGTTTTTAATTTTGACTTTTAGTTCGCGACTCATGTAATAGCTAATTAGTTTACATTTTTTGGCTCAATATATTATACCGCTTTCATCTCGTCAAAGAAAAAATGGTAAAATCTTTTTCGTTAAAATATTGATTAATTAAAATCTGACCAAATAACAATCTGTTAACAAAAATCACGCAAACAAGTTTGCAAAGTGCTAAAACACGAAATTCATTTAACAACCACAAAACAAATAAAAATCCCTTTTCAATCAACGATGCTGGTTCGTTCCGATTCAATAGTCATCTATCGTTATTTTCTTCCCCTTATACCACCTCAGTCGTATTAGGTATTGATCCGTCCAACTCAAACAACAAATCAGTGCCACTTCAGATCAAAACCGCACTCAAATTTCCTTCATTTTTCTATTTTGCGTTTGATTCTATCCGAGCAAACCCGACTTCTTCTTTCGTTTCTTGTCCTTGGGAGTGTTCGGGAACTCCATGAACACACTCCCCCCTGTCCCACTCTTGTCTCCTCCCCCAGTGGCCCCATCCCCACTAGAGGCAGAAGCTGAACTACTCTGCTGATCCTGTTTGGAGCCCGAGGACTTCTCCGGAACAGTGTCCTATAAATATAACTTAAAATTTATTTCATTTCGTCTCACAGTTTCAGTACTCTACACTCAGACGCTAAATTATCACGTGACCAAAAAAAAGCTATCCGGTGTTCATCGTCGCAAATCTCAAGTCAATGAACAGAAGGTTTCTCGTCGTTTTTAGATAAAGCAATCAGTTACTTAGTAGCTTTTTTTCAATTTTGTAAATAATTTCATATCAACAACGCCACGTTTTTTGTCTTCATGGCTCAGACATTTGAAATGTTCAATTTCAGTGGTTGTAATTACGCCAAAGTTTCTTTTGGAAGTTGGGTGAAAAAGGAGCCTTAAAATCGAGCAAAAAAGCGTGAGACCAATACAAAATTTAATCTCTAACAAAATGTAATTCTATATTTCCCTCGCGCGTGTGTAGTGCTTGCAAAGCATACAAAGAAGATGAGGACATGATTGGTATATACATACCATTGGGCCTACTTTGGACCTCCTGCCCTTTGTCACTCTTTGCACTAACTTCTGTGGACTGGGCATAGTCAGAGGAGTATGGCCCTAAAACATAAAAAAACACAACTATTAAGCCCTCTTCGCTCATAAATACTACTGAAGAAGACTTTTCTCTGAGAGCGAAGGAAAATTGGGTCTAAATGGTGAAGAGCGAATGAAATTGTTTCTTGGATACTTTTTGGTTATCAATGATCGTCTTGAAATTTTTGTGATCGTCATATGATATGATCAGTTTTGATTTTGTTATGATTCATTCAATTTTCTTTCGCACGCAAAATTTCAGCTTTGCAGTTTTGTTCTGAAAATATACATTTCGTAAGTCATAGAAAAAAATTGTGAACATAAACAAAAAAAACGTCGCAGTTGAGAAAATCGAAGAATAAAAATATAATCAAAACTGATAACATCATGAAACGATCACAAAACCGCCTTCTTTTCTACTCCCTAGCATTTCATAAATTATGTTTTCATGGATCATAATTTATGTGCTATGGGAAAAAGGCCAAAATGCATACACAATCGTTTACACCTAGACGGAGCTGCACTTCGCAAACACAAGCAAAAAACATCGGACGTGGACACTACCATTTTCTCATCGTTACGTCTGCGCCATGGTCGCTTGACATTCGTCAAATACAAGGAACTTGTAGCAGAAAAAAAATTTAAGCAGAAAAAATTTTTTTATTCAGTTGCCAACGCTATGCCAACAAATTGCCACCAAAAGAGACTTTTATTTGCAAGTTGGGTTGGAAAAGAGTTAACTTCGTAATATGACAGCACGCTCGCTATCTCTCTCTTGTTTAAAAATAAGAAAAACAAGCTAAATATTACCGCATATTAGCAATATTTTAAACTCTTAAAACAAGCATGCCAACAAAAATTTTCAAAGGGTTTAAAACAGCATAAATACATCTAATGCATTTTATCGGGAAAAAAAATTAGATGAACGCCGTCTTCAATGTTAGACAATTTACGCATGTCTTATTGACTTTCCATCTAATTTTCTATATCTCCGACTTCTTGGATTCGAGCTTAAAACTTTCTCTAACGTAGACAGGCATGCTTTTAAAATATCTTTTGTTTGATTTAAAATGCTTTCGAAGGACCAACTGAGTTTTTTTTCAGTCTGCTAATAAATTAAACCAGTAAAAGCAATTTGAGGTTTGGTTAAAAGAAGCACCTTTTTCAGCTTTTTCACAGATGGTGGCAGACAAGAACGGAAAGGTGATGCAGTCATTCTCGCCTCGGGCGAAAACAGGCAGTCGGACCCAGAAAGAGGCGGGTGATTCATTCTGTCGGGCAACACATTGCCCCGCTTTACCTGCTTCGCGCCACGAGGGGCAGTCCCGGTTGACCCCGAAGGGGGGTTGTTCTCGACTCCCGTTGAGTTCAGGTTGTCGTCCTCGCACATATCCATGGATGACGTCAGGTGCATTGGACGCTTCCTTCCTCCGGATGCCGCAGCACGAGTTGCGGACTAAACAAAGCACAGATCCCAAAACAATTCCAAAAATAAACAGCTTCGTTTTCGTCCCAAAACAAAACATAACTAGAGCTTTCATGAACATGACCAGTTCAGTTCTAAAATTGATTATCTATTGTGCTCAATCAAAGATTCTTTAGCCACACTACTTCAAAACGCAGCATACATCAACTCGCTACAAAAGACATCCTGCACAAAAAGATAACTAGCCATAAACTTGTATGTGTTACAGCATAAACTTGCAGCTGTCCCATGGTAATTAATGAGAGGACATAGAACTTGATAGAACGTTTCATGGAAGTGCCATACCAGCCAAACCAACCGATCAAAGAAAATGAACTCTTTCTACGCGTTACCGCTCAGATCCAAGTTGTAATTTTTTGCTATTAGCTCTAGAAATCATTTTCATCCAAATTAATTCCGTTGAGTGAAATAAAAAAAATGAAACGCTTCAAGAGGGATTCATTGAACGAGTTAACTCGTGTCTATTCCTACTGAGAACTCACCCCTGTGCTGTCTGTTAAATTCTCCATTGGGTAGCACGACTGCAGATGTCTGGGATACATCGAGTTCCTCCTCTCAATCTCACTCATTCTATCTTCACTATTCAACCCTTCATCTTCGTCTTCATCCTGCCCATGACCACGTGCCTCTCCTGGTCCCTGATTGGCACTGATCCACATCATGGAACTCCTCTTACCACTGGAATCCAGAGTCTGGCCAGATAGACCCCGCATCTCACGAGAGGGAACATATCCTAGAAATGGACAAGCTACGTTATATACAGAAGAACATCAGCATCATCACATCTTTTTGCACTATGATCAAAACATCATTGACAAGTGTCATTCATGAATTTCTGGGCGAAAAAATAATTATCGGTATATCGAATATTAGTTTGTAAGTAGACAGTTCATATCTATTTTTATCGACATGCTCTGCAAGCATCCACGCAGTATATGAAATGAGGCACCAGTGTGAATGTATTGCACATACCTGGTAGATTAATGTGAGGTACAGTCCTCGCAAGAGTTTCGGATCCTGTCGAGGTTCCACTGCCACTCAAGAGTGACGAGGAGCTGGACGACGATGACGTCGAGGTCCAGTTGAGGTTATTACGAAGGTGCGAGTTGGGTGGGTGTTGTCTGTTTCTTAAGCCCGACATGACATTGTTCTCGGCCGAGTGTAGAGAGGATGTTGATGCTTGGGCGACGGTGGATTGGGAAGATGAAGTGATGGTGTCTGTGGGGTATGAGGAGAGAGTTAGGAGTGACTTTGGCAGGACATTCTCCTGTCTCTGAAGGTCACTCATCCGTGTCTGCACACTTGCCATGTCAGGATGGATCATGTCCAACACATCTATAAAGCAAAGTCATTTTAACACACTCACATTACACGCCCAATTCACAGCAGTCATAATAAGAAACATTTATAGAGCATTTATTGACATGTGCGACACTGAAGCTAAGCAAATTGAAAAGAATGGTGACAAAAAATTAGATAACATATATTTTTGAATTTTCTAGTTCATCAAGGAAAACCTCCATTTATAAAAACTGAGCATAAAATTGTTGTAATTGAAGCTACATTGATTCAATTACTAGCCATCGAAATATTTAGGAACACCAAAACCCCCACCCCCGAAGAAGGCTAAGACTGTTTTTTCTCTGACCTGAGAACTTGTAGAGGGACTCTTCGTTGGGCACTGAGTCGGCGAAGTTCTGTGAGGCCATCACTCTGCTCCTCAGCTTCATCGAAGGAGTTGAGAAGGTGGTAGATGAAGAGCCAGAAAGAGGTACTCTGGACCGAGCAGGCAGCGTCTCAAAACGATCATTCTAATCACACAAAAAAAACAATCTAGATTAAAAGCTGGCTATTGTGGAATTCTTTTCCGATTGAATCAAAATAATTTTAAGACCAGCAATCGAGTATGTCACAAATAACGCGATCGTAAAAAAAGACAACACTAGTTATAAGTGAACTTACCAAGTTGGAAGTGGACACCACCTGTCGAGTCACTGGCCGCTCATAGTGCACATCGCCTCCAGTGACAGTGGCCTACAACATGCATACATATTTACCAGAGGAGAAGAAAAAATAGAACAGCAGCAAGCCTAAAAAAATATCGATTTTTTAACTTTGTCTTGAAGGCGGTTGATTTTGAAATGTACAGAAAACACAAATGCCAGTGTGAAATCAGTATTGAAAAACAATATTCATCAAACGGTAACTGAGCAGACAAAACTTGGGTAGACGACAAACGCCTCGAAAAAAATGCTGTAAAAACTTAGTTAAAAAACATTTTGAGCTCCCTTTTTTCACACCTCCTTCAAGAACACAAATGCAATAAAAATTTTTGCCCTTCAAACGATGAAAAATGAGGCAAATAAACAGATATATTATAAGCTGAAACCGCTAAAGCTCAAGAAAACTAGAAAGAAAAAAAAGCCAACAGAGTTGTAAAAGGGTCAATGAATGAATGCAAAGAAACAGAAAAAAAAACACTTGCTTTTAAAAAAATCTCAACTTTCGAATTCAAAGAAAAAATATAGATGCCCAGTAAGCTTTTTGCATTTCTAGAACAATTGATGATTGACTTTTTTCGATAGAGTTAACCCAAGTTAAAAAAGGAAAAATAATAATAGCGATCTATTATAAGGGTCTGAATTACGCTCATCGACCCTTAAAAACGAAGAAACAATAAGCAAAAAAACTTGTTTTGAAAGCCACAAAAATTCGAAAGAAAGGGCCATTTAAAACGCAGACATGCTCAAAAAATCTGTTTTCGTGCATCCCATCAGAACAGCCATGTCAACTAGTTTTGTTTAACTAGTTGTTAACCCGAAAAACGCCTATATTCCGATTTGATAACGCTTGCTAATCGCAAGCGTAAAGACATACAAGTATATGGAAAAAAACAGGCAACAAATATAGCCAACAGACAGTTAGAAAAGAGTCAATGTACGCAAGTAAACATAGAAATAGTGACTTGGTTTTATGAAAAAATATCATTTTGAATATCCAAGAAAAAATATTATCTTTGAGCTCTTTGAATTTCTAAAACAATTTATGATCGACACTTTCTAGATCGAATGAACCCAATTTGAGAAATCAGTAACAAAATTTTCATGTAGCTGGGAAATCTGAAAACTAAATTCTACTTTCGAAACTAGGAGCCGATCACGTTTTTTGTGACCTTCACACTTTTGCCGTTCGATAGTGGAGTTTGCCTTTCCTTTTAACAAAGGAGAACTGAACTTAAATAATCAAAATTCGGACCGCTAAAAAAGGACTAAATTTGAGCAAGAACAAATTTTAGACTTTTCCTGAAAAAAAATAATCGCGACCTATATAAGAGTCTGGACTACGTTCATCGACTCTTAAACACGATTGCAAAACCTTCAAAACCACAGCACAATTAACGCCTAATTGACAAATTCTAATTACGTACCAATTATGTTTTTTTTTATTTTGTGGTCATTTGAATTTGAGGCCAGTAACGAAAATTTTGGTAGTTTTTGCATCTCTGATGATGATGATTCATTCAGACATTATATTTTTCGCTGAACTTACGATTTTTATGTTACCAATGACAAATAAAACAAATACAGAACATGAAATTGAAGAAAGAAAAGACTGTTGGACAACCTCTTGTTTGATTCTATGCGACAGCATAGGCAGTACATTCTCCTTCTGCGAGACACCTCTGTCCGGTGAGTAAGTGTGGCTACGAGCCAGGTGGTGTTGACTCTGTTGGCTCCTAGCCTTCTCATCCATATACAGTTTCTTGTAGCTCTTCAAGGTGTTGTCTGATGACGCCAACTTCTTCTCCATCGTGGCTATGATGCCTCTCAAATCCTCTGATTCCGCTGCTTTCTCTTCTAACTCGGCTACTTTCAACTGCAGTTCCGCAATCTGCTCCTCACTCGTCCTCCGATCATCTGCCCCATAAGAAGATACTTGCTCCAGCTTCTCGTGTAATCTCTCCATCGCCCCATGCGCCTTCTTCAAGTCCTCCTCTGCAATACAAAAAATCCTTGTTCTCCCCATCCCCATAGCAAAATTCACACACCCCATAGCCTAGCCATGGTTATAGCACCAATATAAAAGAGTCTTTGTATTATATAGGCAAGGGGATAAAACAAAAACCCTACTATGGTGAGGCTATCCTTTTTTTGTTACTAGGTTAGAGCTATTATGGAAAAGATCCCAAAATACCCCAATCCTCGAATCATTTTTATTCAATCATCACTTCGTTCTATTACCAAAATGAATTACCAAGAAAACAACCCATCTTTGTCTAACGATAAGTCAATCATCGATATAATTCAATCCACCTACTGTTACTTAACTAAAATGCGATAAACTAAACGATATGCGTTAAAGAACACAAGCAGACCTATACGATAGCCATTGTCCTTATAAATACTTGAATTCTGTAAGATTCATCATGTATCAGCATAGCCATCTAAACTATAACTGAAGAAATGCTAGTTGGCATGTCAAGTGAATAACTGACTTTGTTGTGAAGTGCAGTAGTCAAGTGGGATCAAATACTGGCTTTGTACCTAGAGTGCTGTTATGTGCAGTGAGAGTGTTGTAGTCGTGTCTGGCCTGTTCGCAGTTCTGCACCAGCTGTCCCTTCTCTGCCTGAAGGGAGTCCCTCTGAGCAGCCAGCACTTCCATCTGGCCAGTGGCCTGCAACAGCTGGTCTGTCAAGTTCATGTTCTCAATCTCCAGACTCTCCTGCACTATCTGCTTCTCATCTACAAATAAAAACTGGCGTCTAATCTCACGAAAGAAGTCCGAAATTCAAAAACAGACAGAAAATTAGAAAAGAGCAATTGTTCTATTAAAAAGATTTTGCATTCAGAAAATACTTAATTTCTACGGACCAATTTTATTTTTATCAGGATCGCTTGAAAACTCAATTTTTCATAAAAGTTTTCGGGAACTTATCAGATTAATCTTTTGGTTATTTAAGTGTGGCGAATTTTAAGAAATTTTCTCTATTGTTTAATGCCTTTCAAAACTTCAATCCTATTCTTATAACCACGAAATCGTCAAAAAACCAAACAAAAATAAAACGATTTTCTTTAAAATATATATATTAATTTTGCAACGATTGTATTATACTGGCAGAAAATTCTGCCTTATTTGCACAGAAACCGACTATCCCACTTTGTTTCGATATTGTCAGTATTCAGTTACCAGTGAGTGTGTTGATCTGCAGCCTCAGCTTGTCCACCTCCACTAGGTGTGTCTTCTCCAGAGCCTCCATCTTCAGCCTCACACTCCCCACCTCCCCCTCCAAACCAGCTTTTTCACTTTTCTAAAACACAAAACACACACTTTTCATACAGAAGCGAAGCGGAGCTTTGCAACACTTGCGATACAATACAAAGTAAAAGAAATAAGAAAGAAAAAAATGAAAAATGTGAAAAACAAGCACCAAAATTTTCGTACGCCTCGATAATAGATAACTAGGGGCCCAGATGAAGCTGGTGGTAGGTGTTTTGATAACTTTGTTATACTGATGTGTGATAAAATGGGCAATTTCAAAATTTGGACTTAGTCCAAAACCATAATTGTTTATCAACTAAAATGACAAAGGTGAAAATTTATGAGAAATTGAGATCTTCCCAGAGAATAACATTTTTCTTACAAAAAATTAAGAAGACGCAGCTTTTACACTAAAAACTTTTGCCATCTGATCATTCGATTAAACTCTTCATCTCAGGTTTGACAGGGTCATTTATAAGAAGAAAAGTCAAAAAGTTTCTAAAAAACGGTCAAAAGCTCAAAAACTTGATTTCCGCAAACTATATCTTGTTTCTGCACAAAGGTCGTAGCCGCATTAGCATAGAAGATTTCCAAGATTACCGGGTTTCTCGATTGACTAAATAAATCTACGAGTTGGCAGGGTAGTTATCGAGAAAAGTCAAAAAGTTTCCAAAAAACTGTCAATAAGTCAAAAATTTTACTTTTCCGAGAATCATAGCTTTGTTTGTGAAAAATTTTAGGGCGTAGCCGCTCATACAGAATTGATTCAAACAACTTGTTATTTCCATTGAACGTTAAAACTCAGATTACAGTGGGAAGTTTTCGAGAAAATTGAATTAGTTTCAAAAACGGAAAAAAAAACAATTGTCTTTTCCGAGGGCCATACCTTTTGTGTTAAAAAATTGGGCTTAGTTAATTATGCAAGGGGCGGGCGCATTCTATATCATGTTGTTTCCATTGAATCCAAAAACTCACATTTGAAGTGTAGTTATTGAGAAAGAAAAAAAAAATTTTTTTCTGAGGGCCATAACTTGTTGTATACAACAATTTGGTCGTAGCAAAATATGCAGAAAATGTTCCTATAAAGCGTTCTTTGGATTGAACCAAACAGTTTAGATTTTGCGGGGTGTTTTCGAGATAGGTCAAAATAAATTTTAAAAATGATCTAAAAAAAATCTAATATTTGTTCTTTCAGAGGGCCCTAACTTTTGAGTAAAAAAATTGGGCTGAGTTGATCATGCAGGAGCATATCTCATAACCGGTTGTTTTGATTGATCCTAAAAATCACATAGGGGTTTGAATTTATTATACAGCAAGCAATTTAGAATAAGTATTAAAACATTTAATGCATCCGTTAAGTAAGCCGACAAAAGTTGGGACGAAATCCATGAAACCGACAAAAAAATCAATTTAATTCTGAAAAATTTCCCAGTTACAAGCATTGCACCCAGGAGGTTAGGGCATGTCAGTGGGCATGAGCATGAGACATGAGCATGTCAGCAATTGGTTCACTTAATTTTGTTAAAGTAGTTGTTAACCCGGAAAAAAGTCTACATTCCGATTTGACAACGCTTGCTACAGCTGAAAAACAGGCAAAGCTGGAATTCGCTAAAGCGCACCAAACAACGACTAAAACCCCCGTAAAATTTTTGAGAGCGTAGGGAGACTACGGGATTTGATTCTCGGATTTAGGACCTGGAAAACACTTAAAACGAGCCTTGCTAGTGGCAATACCATGTAAGTTAAGTAGCTGAAAATTCTGAGCAGCGACTCAATTTTATGCACCGTGAAAAATTATTATACGTAAGGAAAAGTTACAATTAATTTTCATCACAGTTATTTGTAAGCAGGCTTAATTTGAGGTCACACCATTTCTAATTAGATAAGCTATTTTTATATCATCATTTATTTAATTTGTAGTCGACTGGCAGTAAATTTATGACAGCACCCTGCAATTCAATGATTTCGTCCGCTGACGTCTCTTAATTTCCATCATTATTTGTTTATTTTTTACTTGATTATGACTATGAATGAATGTAACTAAATTGTTCTTGTTGTTGCGACTAATACACGTACAGTCTGTGAGAGCAGGAGCTGTTGCTGGTTGAGTTCCACAGTGAGTCTGTCTACCTGTTCTCTCAGTCCACTCGCCTCACTGTACACTTTCTCCACTGCTTCTCGCTCCCTCTTCCTTCCCTCGTCTGAAGTAACAAACAGGTACATACAAATA